TACAGGTGGCAAGGGACGACCTCGTAAGCAGTACAAAGTAAAGTTCAAGTCTCAACCCCAATCTGAACCCACAGGGTTCAGTAGGAAAGAACTTCGACCCACTGCTCCTGATATTGTCGCTGCATATGAACGTGGGTTAACTGTCAATTGACGTATTTCTGCTATGAAANGGTTCAGTAGGAAAGAACTTCGACCCACTGCTCCTGATATTGTCGCTGCATATGAACGTGGGTTAACTGTCAATTGACGTATTTCTGCTATGAAACTCGAAAATTGGGCCGGCAGGAATGCAATAACCCATGCCATATGTCTCGTGGAAAGACTGAGGGCCAACTCGGGCGGCCGCCCTCAGCCCAGGCCGAAAATAGGGGCAAAACACCCCACACGAATATTCAGGGCTTGGAAGAGAGACAATTGACTTTTGTTCACTGCCATGATCTCAACTGTCAAAGTCTAAAGGTACCGAGTCTAGGCCACCGGTCAAGCACACACACTTGTTTGTATGCAGGTACCCAGACAACATAAGGTCCAAGGGGAATGTCTGCAAATGTACGATCCAGACCTTCGGCTGTGACTCAATCTGGACGACTGAGGGAAGGAGACCCAAGGCCAGAGAGCCTCGCCAAATGCTACTTAAAGACTGGCCTCGAGGTGATCAGCATTCCGTCTTGCTATGTTGGTTCAATGCTGGCTTGACTTTGACTTGACGCTGACATTGTGCTAGCGCGACGGTGGTTAAACGCTGACTGTGCATTGGAGTTGTGGATGACGACACGTGGGAGGCAGAACGCTGACATTATACGCCAGGCTTACTAACATAGCATGCTGATGTGGCGCTACCTCTGGTATATGTGGCGCTGCTTATGGTCTAGGTGACATGCTGACGTGGCGCTGCCTCTGGTATATGTGGCGCTGCGTGTGGTCTACATGACATGCTGACGTCGCGTTGTCTCTGGTATATGTCACGCTGCCTATGGTCTACGTGACATGGTGACGTGGCGCTGCCTCTGGTATATGTGGCGTTGCCTATGGTCTACGTGGCATGCTGACGTGGCGCTGCCTCTGGTATATGTGGCGTTACTCCTGGTCTATGCGGCGCTGTTATTGGTCTTCATTGATGATGTGGCATATGCCACCTGTCTCGTCTGCTGATGTGGCATTGCGCACACTTTCTACATAAGGTGATTGGTTGTGAGGAGGAGGAGATCGGGATCTGTGGAAGAAGGAAGTCGGGTACTCACCTGTGGTTGGCGTTGTCGTTGGAATCTTTTATGTTTTCACAGTCTTTACGAGATTGAGTGTCACGTGGCACTATTGTAGGTGATCAGGATTATACTTGTTATCACTGTTGTGGTAGAGAAGGAGGAAGTCAAGAGAAGGAGAGAGATTTGTTATTGATCTTTCATCTTCTTCTTTGTTTGTTCGCCCTCCACTCTCTTGTTATGATGATAATGAGATAATGTTTGTATTATCACTTCATGATCTGGAGATTGTGATCCAGATAATGAGACTATTGATGTTTGACGACTTCTGAGTACTGGCCAAACTGGGTTCATTACAATATATATATATATATATATGTATGTATATATATAGATCTGTGTAGCACACCGAACCTGTTCAAAGCTTTCCTGAACGTTCGATCATGTTCGGGTGTTCGGTCGAACACCTCACGAACGTGTTCGGCCGAACATATTCAAAAAAAGAAAAAGATAAAAAACTGTTTTTTTGTTTTTGATTTTTAATTCGAGTATGGTTACGAATTGGAGCATACTTCCAAGACAAAAGTTGTTTGTACATATATGTTTTTCAGATTTGTCGAAGAACTTTTGTTTTTTTTTCAATAATATGTTTATGTTTGCGATCGGAGAGTTTTAGCGCTCTTTCGTGTTCCTTCCCAAACGTTCTGATGCTACACAGATATAAATATATATAATATAAGTATATATATATATATATATATAGTGGTTGGCGTTCGAGACGCGCCGAAAGCCTGAACCCCAATCCCCGAACGTACGGGACCCCTTAGGGATGCGTTCGGTTATTTGGGCCAAACACGGAAAAAAAAAAAAAAAAATCACAAAAATTTGTCAAAAACGTATGTTATGCAGAAAGATAAAATAAACAAAATTTGTGACGCATGCTCAGGGGAGCAATGCATAGGGAGCCAAGGATCCGCTATGTGATGAAAAAGACTTAAATGGACAATGCAAGGTCAGCGTAGCATCAACAAGCAATGTACATTCCGCATACATACGAGATGGCACAAAGTGGCACAACAGAAAACTCAAAGAGAAGATCTGATCTGATATGGACTGACCCGACATCCATCACACACCACACAGGTGAGAGAGGGAGGAGGGACCGCACACATGGAAAAAAGATCCCTCCTGCGCACACCCACATGGGGAGATACCACGGATGAGAGATGGGGGAGGGACGAGACGAGGAGGTAGGAGGCGAGGGAGTAGACCGAAATCGCAATAGCGAAGTCCAAAGAAAATAGCCCCTTCCCGATTGTCCAATCAATGTCTGTCCCAGAAATGTCGAATCAGATCCTGGGCAATGCGCCCTGCATACCCTCTGCCTGAATCCCTACTGATAACCTCTCACACTCTTTGAGTCGAAAAAGGAGAGATAAGAAGGAGGAACAAGAGAGAGAGAGAGAGAGAGAGAGAGAGAGAGAGAGAGAGAGAGAGAGAGAGAGAGAGGAGGGAGAGAAAGATGAAGCACTCCTCGCTATCTCACCTGCAGGTAGCTGTCACTGAACTGACTTCGTCCGTTGCTGTGTGCACGTACCGTGTGGAGCCCAGCTATAGCGTCAGGTAAGCTCGTTGACTGCAGGTATGGCCTCCGCCACTCCCTATTTCCTCTAACCTGTACTCCCTACTCCGCTACCCAGCGCAGCACTGGGCCTACCTGGTGTTGTGTGGCCTAAAACGGCCCAGGTGGTCTGGATCCCTACCGTACGTCCAGACCTTGCTGCTGCTGCAGCATGGCGCAGAAATGCGCCTGGCCTAAAAACGGCCTTATACCGGTGCACCTGGCCCAAGGTGCTGTCTTGGGTCCTGCAGGACTGAAACGACGCCGGTACCTGTTGGTTTGGCGCCAAAATGCGCCTGGCCTCGTTTCGGGCCTGCCTCCGGTGTACCCAGTCCCAAGGTCCGGCCTTGGGGCTGCAAGTCCGAAACGGCACCTGAACAGACAAAAATAAGACAGCACACACACAAAAAAAAAAAACAGTAAGTAAAACTACAGTCTATTTACCTAGTGTGCTGCCTAGGGCCTAGAGGGTCGTCGTGGGCCTCCAGGGCGCGTGATGGAAGGTACGAGGCCTGGGGGACCCTCAGCAACCGTCGGGCCCCTCAAATGGGGCTCGTGTGCAGGCACAGCATGCAACACCCCCCCCTCGTTATGAAGTCAAGCCGGTCGGGGGCGAAGCGTCCGATCTGAAGGCGGTACTTGGATGCGGGTACGGCGTGGAGCCGAAGATGCCGGCTTGCCTTTCAGCTTCTGTTCATAGCGTGCGAGAGCATCGGGCGCTGTTGCCTGAAGTTCCGCACGAGTCAGCCATCGGCCAGCTCTATGGGTGCAATATGCAAAGTGGACCAAAAATTCAGTCGGCCTGTTGCCGTAACGTCGCTGGGAAATGATGTCACTAACCTCTTGGAAACCATCCATGGAGGGTGGGTCTTGAGATCGTCGCCCGGGAAAATCGTCGGGTTCCGCTGGCGTGTAGAGAGCCAACTTGGAACAGTGAAAGACCGGGTTGATGGGCAAGTGGTCGGGCACCTGAATGATAAATGAAGGGCCTTCGGGTGTGTCTCCGGCGGGTGCCATGATCGACCAGGGCCCCATCCATTTCGGAAGGAGCTTGCGGGAGATATCTTGTTCGAGGCTGAATTCCGCAGAGGAAACCCATACGAGGTCGCCGGCGTGGAACGGACAAGGAAGACGCTGGCGGTTGGCCTGTTGGCGCATACGTTGCTGCGTCTTCGACATCTGGTCACGTGCCTTGACAAGAAGCTCTTGCATCCGACGAATGAAAAAAAAGTGGTCGTCACTCTCGGTCGTCCGTGGAATGATTGTGCCCAACGGAGATTTGACCGGCGAGCCATGCTCGAATTCGAAAGGCGACATCCCGATGGCCGGATGGATGGACGAGTTGTATGCCAACTCGACATCCGGCAGCCGCTCGACCCAATCCTTTTGGTCGGGACGGATGAGAGTTCGAAGAAGGACCTGTGCGGTCTGATGTGCCCTCTCTGTTTGGCCATCGGTTTGGGGGTGGCGAGCCGAACTTGGCTTGAGGGATGAGCCCCATCGCTTGATGAGCGCCAACCAAAAAATCGGACATGAACCGAGTGTTGCGGTCGCAGACGATTTCCTGGGGGTATCCCTTGGTTCGAATCCAACCGGCGTAGAGAACCTCGGCCAACTCCGGTGCCTTGGCGTGATAGCGGCAAGGCGAGAACATGGCAAACTTGGTGAGGCGCTCAACCACCGTGAGAATCCCGTCGACGCCCGTCTTGTGCTTGGGGAAGGGGTCGGTGATGTCCATGGCAATCGCTTCCCTTCGCCGCAAGGGGACCGGTAATGGTCGCAGTTCGCCATACGGACGATGGTTGTGAGGTTTGCAACATCGGCAAACTTCGCATGACTGGCAATAGCGCGTGACGTCATCGAGGAGACCGGGCCACCAAAAGCGCTCACGTAGTCGGCCAATCGTGCGATTGACTCCAAAGTGTCTGGTGGCGGGGGCGTCGTGGAACTCGCCAAGAAGCCGGGTGCGCAAATGTGAATCTTGCGGCACACAAAGGAGATCCTTCCCCCGCGAGTGAAGAAGCAAGTATCCCTCTTGGATCCGATAGTGCAAAGGCGCCGGATTGAGAGAGGAACAATTCACGTACTTGTTGCGAAACTCGTGGTCGGCTTGATAGCCGCGGATGAAGCTGTCCAACAAGTCGTCCTCGATCTCGAAGGTTGAGTGGACTGCGGTGCAGTGGTCCGAACGCCGCGAAAGGGCATCTGCAAAATGGTTCGACTTCCCCGGAATGTGATCGGGGAAGAAGTCGAATTGATCGATGAAGGTCATCTAACGGGCGATGGTGTTGTTGACGGTGTCTTGAGACTTGTAGACGACCAACGGATTGTTGTCCGTTACCCATCGGAACTGACATCGACCGAGGAGGAAGTGCCGCCACCGCTTGAGTGCGTGGACGAAGGCGAGAAGGTCCTTCTTGCGTGCATCATCGATGGAGTGCATGACCGACACTTTCTCGCTGAAGTATTCGACCGGGTGCCAGTCCACGCCGTCATGTTGCTCGAGGACGGCACCAATGTCATAGCCAGATGCGTCCGTGGTGACGCGCATTGGCAATAGTGGGTCGTATATCCGCAATACCTCCGCGGAAAGCAATGCGGCCTTGAGGGCCAAGAATGATTCCCGCGCGTCCGTCCCGAAGTCAAACGACCGGTCCTCGCATTGAAGCTTGGTTGAGTGAGCCGCGATCTTCGAGTAGCCTTTGATGAAACGTTGGTAGTAGCCGGCGAGGCCGAGGAATGATCGAACATCCGTGACGTTCCGTGGCTCCGACCAATCTTGGACGGCTTGAATCTTGTCCGACAACGGACTGATGCTTTGTGGAGTGACGAAGTGACCCAAGTATTTCAACTCTTGACGTACGAACTCGCAATTGTCGAGGTTGGCTTTGAACTTGGCGAGCCGGAGTGTCTCCAACACTCGTCGAGGATGGTCAAGATGTTCCTCCAAGGTCTGGCTATAGACGAGGATGTCGTCCAAGTAGACCAGCACGAACCGGTCCAACATTGCTCGGAACTCGTTGGTCATCGCCGCCTGAAAAGTCGCGGGGGCATTGGTGAGTCCAAAAGGCATAACAACCCACTTGAAGTGCCCGTACCGTGTCTTGAACGCGATCTTGTAGCGATCTTGCGGCCGAATCGAGATCTGATGATATCCTGACTTCAAATCCAGCTTAGAAAAAAATTTCGCGCCGCCCAAGCGCTCTAGAAGGTCGTCAATACGAGGAAGAGGTCCCGCGTTCTTGATGGTTTGCGCATTGAGCTTGCGGTAATCGATGCATTAGCGAAGGTCCTTGTTCTTCTTCTGAACGAAGAGAACCGGCGCACCATAGGGTAAGCTACTAGGCCGGATCCAGCCTTTATCCAACAAGTCGTCGAGCTGAGCGCGGAGTACTGTAAGTTCCTCCTCGCTCATGCAATAAATGCAACCTTTTGGCGGCATGGCACCGACCTCGAGAATGATCTCGTGAGAGATTGGCCGATCCGGCACCACGCCGGTAGGTGACTCGAACACGTCGGCGAATTCGTCGAGCAACCACACTACCCGGTGGTCTAAAGACAAGTCCGTAGGTGGAGAGTCGGCTACCGCGATGGTTTGAAGAAAACATAAGGCGAGACATGTGCAAGTCGAAAAAGATGTACGAAGATATTTTGCAAGACTCGTGGTATACTGAGTTGTTCCAGTACATCCCAGTTGGGTGTCAAGGCTTTATTACTATGGCTGAAGAATGTGGCTTGCAATTCGAAACCATAGGCAGTATTCCAAAACATGGGGAGGAAGTGGTCCTATTTCTGATGTTCCTCACATCGCATCAGAGAACGTTGACACAACTGTGGATGTGTCTTGCGGTGTAGTACCCTATCGTAAACATCATGCGAGCGGAGTCCCGTCTGAAAACCGAAGGAAACGAAAAGGTAAGGCCGTGATAGATGTGGTAGACCGTAAAACACTTCTTCCATTTAGATGGGAAGTCTTATCTGGAGAGAAGCTACATATTCTGGAAAGCGATGTTATGAGCCTTGGAGAAGGAGGAAAGCTCACTGACACAATTATTGATTTATTCCTCTAGTCAATATACAAGGACGTTACAAATGACATGCGAACAAAAAATGTGTATGTCTGTTCGACATTCTTTCACAAACTCATTGAAACAAATCAAGTCGTAGACCGAACGAAAGTTACATGGGAGAAATTTGTGAAAGATAGGCCTAAGTCAATACGCAATATTTCTCAAGACATGTGGAATTATCCAGTGGTAGTTATCCCCATCTGCAGGGACAATCACTGGACATGTCTTCTTCTTTTGAATGTGGGCGAATTTGTGAACGACTCAGCAAATCATGCATCGGTTGTTCTTGCAATTTTTCATATGGACTCATACAAACGATCAAGGAAGACGTTGTGGGATAAATTACGAACATACATCCGACATGAGTTTCTTTTGAAGAAATTCAATGAAGGAGATGTACAAGATGACGATGTTGAGAGGTCATGACACATTTGGAAAGAAATGTTTGGAAATAGACTAATTGAAGTTAATGTTGTTCAGCAGGCGAATACAAAAGATTGCGGCGTGCATACTTGCATGAACGCAGAGACTGTAATCAGACACTTAACATCAAAGGAAGGCGGAAACTCCATTACACCATCAGAGGTCGTGAATGTCGTGGGTAACATGAATGAGAACCTTGATTAGACAACTATCTGCTCCATGCGACTGAAAATGTTGAATAAGACGGCGGAGTGTATTGCATTTGTGAAAGGGGTTGGACGTGAGAATATTACAAATATAAAAGACACATTACTGCAAGTGGTGCGAGATACACATTACCCGTGACAGTGAGTGCGTCCTTCAATGTGTGTGTGTGTATGTGTGAGTGTGTGATTGTATGTGTGTCTGTGTATGTTTGTGTGTTTGTATGTGTGTGTGTGTGTGAGAGAGAGCGTAGGTGGGCGGAGGAAGGTGAGGGAGCCGTAACAGAGAAAGGAAGATAAAAATCTCAACATCAATCTCAAGATTGAGATCAAGGTAGAGAGAGAGAGAGAGAGAGAGAGAGAGAGAGAGAGAGAGAGAGAGAGAGAGAGAGAGAGAAAGAAAGAAAGATAGATAGATAGATAGATAGATAGATAAATAGATAGATAGAGAGAGACAAAGAGTGTCACTACAGAGAGAGGGAGAGAGAGAGAGAGAGAGAGAGAGAGAGAGAGAGAGAGAGAGAGAGAGAGAGGGAGAATAAAAGAAACATGGCTCTCAGAGAGAAGTATAATCATCTCCGAGAACGAAGACAAGATAGTGAACGCGTGACAGATGCGAGGATGGAAAATCAAAATCCGGTACGACAGAAAGAGAGAGACAAATTTAACAGTCCTAATGAACGATCGAAAAGTGCTCCAGGACAGAAAACCGACGATCAACGTCATGAGCAACGAGATCATGGGCTGCCTACGAAAGAAAATAATGTGTACAACCGAACGCCTGCATATTCAAGTCCGAAGCACGTCAAGGGTTTTCCAAAGCAAGACGTGACACCTCCGAAACTACCCGTCAAATCTAAGAAACGATCATTCCACACGCATGACGAGAAAAATGCCAATTGCAACGATACTGAAGGACCCGTGACAAGAACTCCAAGACAAGTTTTTCCTACTTCCAAGAGATCACCTACCAAGAGTTACAGAAATGACAAACAAAGGAAAGAGGAGTGTTCTCTATCGAATGAGGCGGAAGACAGCTCGTATCAATCACAACATCGCAAAGGAATGCGTCATGAACATGATGAACGGGGACATCGAGAGAATACGTCACAGAAGCAAAGCAACGACAATCATTCACGAAGTGCGTTGAATGAAAGAGAGGGTGAGTTCAAACTTTATGTGAGTTCATCCGCGAGAATGTGTATGTAATGATATGGATTGAGTGTGGATATTCATGCTGTTGTAAGCAAGTATGTATGTTATATATTATTGTGAAGTTCTGCTGATTTTGTGTGGGTATTCATGCCGTTCTAAATAAGTATGTGTGTTATATATTATTGTGAAGTTCTACCGGTAGATCGTTTATAACGAGTGATGAATGATTTTGATACATAAATTATGATAAAATTGTTGCATAATATGAATGAAAAGTTCCTCAAAATATGTGTTGAATTTTATGAATTTGTTCCCGCTTTCAAATTCCTACAGACTATATAGTTATAAAGTAATAATATGAAAAAAGAAATGGTCCAAGAACAAATGATATATACAACGACGTGTTATTTGATGCAATTGTTAATTTGGGGGAGTGTATATTTTTCGTTTGTTTTGCATATGACTTATCATTTTGCACGTGCAATTGTTTGACAACCTTGTTTATAATTGAAACAGAGGATGCAGAAGTTCCAACGAGGAACACAGACATTTCGAAGAAAAGGAAGACAGGTGTCAAAAATTGTATATTTGGCAGTCAATGGAGCAAACAAATAAAGGATAAATTATTTCGAGCTGTGGCTAAAGCATACGCATTCGACTCTGCATATGACTCTCACATGTACCCGTCAGAAGACGACTACTTGCGAACGGTAGAGATTGTCGCCACAAGACTCGGAAAATGGGCTGCGGAGGGTCTTGCTCAATATAGTTTTGAACGGGGAACAAGGGAGGTTTTGGTGGAGTGCAACCGCTGCATGACAACAGTTCGAGGAGAGATATCTGCAAAGTTAAGAGAGTGGTTCTGGGTTGAAATGAGATGCCCCATTGTGCGTTTGCTGCAGAATGATGTATGGAAGGAACAAAAAAATGAATATCGAACGGAGATGGATAACAATCACTCTTGGAGAAGGGAAGGGAATAAATCATGGGAAAGTCCTGCATTTATGGCAACTTTGTTGAATATATTTCAACTTGCGAAGCAGGGCACCGTGTGGGAGTGTCATTGCAACAGCTCACATTTTGTGAGATGATAATCGGACGTGACATATTCATGATGAAGAAGGTTGGATCAGCAGAAAAAATAATTCAAGAAATGAAGGTCATAAAGAGGGCAATTGTGGATTCTACTAGAGCACGAGATGCTATCGTAGACTTCAACATATTCAAATTGGACAAGTCGAGTTCAGTGGCAGACAAGGCAATAGTACGATTTCACGTAGGTCTGCCTAGCCTACGTGCGCAACGTAATGAACAGAACATTTTTATCGAAGATGACTTCTCATTTGAGTTGCGAAGCCATTGAGAGAATGAGGAGTTAAGTAGAGATGACAAATAAGCGCTATATATAATCATGACGCTTATCATTGGTTTATATAGCAAGAACAAACACATAGGTAGATCTGTAGATATGAAAGAAGATAGAGAGATAGATATAAAAATGCAAAGATAAACATAGATAGATAGATAGATAGATTGATAGATAGATAGATAGATAGATGTGTGGCAGAGGGAGGGGAGGGGGGGGGAGGGAATTCGAACTACAAAGAGTCGCAAAAACAATTTCTGATTTTTGTAGCCAGTAATTATACGTAGGACAAACCTGTGTTTGCAAATGTTATTGAAGAAAGACGAGCCAGATACAGACAGTGACGTGAAACTGTCCCCCCCCCTCTTCCTTTTTCTTTTGTGTATTCCTCCCCCCTCGACCACCTTTACCCATTGCTCCCCTCCCTCCAAATAATTGTTTGTCATACAATTAATTACAATCATATACGAACAATTGTAGATAATGAAAAAAAATCGACACACGAATTTCAGGTCAAGCAAACACTATACTCTTCATTTCAGAATACAAGTAAAAAAAAAACACACTAACTGTAATTTGTATATTTCTTTATGTGTAACTTGTGGACAACGAACAATATATGAGCATTGATGGTTGCAACAGCGGTAAAAAAAAACTTGCATGAAAATACTGTTAGTTTTCATATAGAGTATACAAGTATATTTACCTTATTAAAGTTTAATGTAGTTTGTTTCAGAGATAATATTTCAAATATGGAGGAGGAGGGGGGACACACCCACCTATTTTTTTTAATGTTTCTTGAACGAGAGAGGAAAAAAAAAAAAAAAAAAAAAAAAAAAAGTATGAGTGGGAGTGAGACAGTGATAACGAAATTGAGTATGACAAAGCATTAATTCTACGACCACGAGTCATTTT